CATCTTCCCAAAACTCATGGATAAATGAGACAACCAGGCTTTTAAAAGTAAGAGATAAACCACAGCTTCACCTGGGATTGAACAGAGACTGAAACTAGCATTTGCGTGTGGAATAGACATGAAAGTTTAGAGAGTTTCAGTTTCTTTTATATATATATATATATATGATCTATATTTGCTTATTACAGATTGCTTAGTACATACTGCACTTAGAAATTATAGTTAAACTGAGTTATTCCAGCTTCCCCTTCAGCCTCAACTTCTAATATTCAGTTCACATTCAAAAGCAGCCCAGACCAAATCAATCCAGCCAGTTTCACAGCAGAGACCCCCACAACAACACACCAGTTACTCACCAGTTTTTCAGTCATCAGGACCAGTGTCCCACGGGAGGACACAGGGTGCTGGTGCTGCAACACGCAGCTTGCTCGGATCATCAACTGTGGACAACAAGGGTGAGGAACTCTGCTCCTGCATGGATTTCAGAAAGGTCATGTCAACCTGTTCTCACCTCACTGCAGCGGCATGGGTGGAGAAGGTTGAGAGATCCAGAACAACCTCGACTGCGGGGCGTGCGTTGAAAAGAAAGCAGTGCTGTTTAGTTATTTGTTCTGGTTTGTAATAACTAGGCTCTGATTCACGTCTCGAGGTGCCACACTATTAACTGCTCCAAGAGCCCCTGATAAATGTAAACAGAGACACCAAATAGCAGTAATCTCGACCACAACACAAATTATTCACATTCCACTTTTAGATGTCAGAGTGAACGATTAACCTCTGCAGTTTATACATTTACTGATTACACAATCCACTCAAAACATCAAGGAGAGCAATGGCAAACTCAGAAACTGGGGATTTTTATACCTGAAATAATCCTGAGAACACTAAGTTTGAGTTATGTAAACTAGGTTTTTTTACTTCTCTTTCAGATGAAATTGTTGAAAAGCAGCACTTCTAGGAAGCAGTTATGTGTACCGTGCCAAGCATAAAAACCCTGCCCAAGAGGACGGATTAATGTCCGACAACATTTCCAAGCAGAGCTAGGGAACAGAGGAGGGGCTGTCATGAATCTGACACACTGGTGCCTTCCAGAAATTAAAAAGCAATCTGCAGACTGTTCCAGTGCCAGCTGTGTTTCTAAAGAATGCTTTATGTCTAATGCAGACCACATTATCGCCGTTTTAAGCTAAGATTTCACTTAATTTACATAGACTGGGACAGACTGCAGCTGTCTTTGTTTTTAGTGCAGACTGGAATTGCAGGTCGCAGCATGTGAGGCTTTGCCACTATCGGAGTGCAAGCTTGTTTGTTTAAAAATGGAAGACCATGGGACCCACAGTTTTCCAGAGCTATTCACCTTTAGGAAAAGCAATGGTCAAGGCTGGCTTTAGACATGATAAATCATCCAGGAGTTGTATCTTACTGTTCTTTCAAGGCAGAGCGCATGCTCAGTTCTGCAAGGGGACGAGAGCACCCGTGAAAGCCCTGGTACCCTCCTTTCACTGGGTTCAGCCCAGGAAAGCCGGCTACTTTTTTGTTGCTTGATGCCTGTAATGATACTATGTGGAAGGGAAGCCATTTTCAGGTTCTTGGGGGTGGTGGTTGTTGCAGTCAAAAAAACCCCTGAGATAAATAATACAATATACTTGTGCCCAGCAGTACATCCAGCATACTTTGCTAGAAGACATTGCAAGATCATGGATTTGTTTCTGACATACTGGGCTACATGAAAGTGGTTTCATGTGCAAACCTAAAAAAGACATTTCATCTACCTGTACCTCAGCTTCACTAATGTCAAATAGTTTTCTCTGGGGACAGAGTAGTAGTGCTCAGAAGGCATTCAGACCTTACAGTGATGGGTCTACAGCTAGACCAAAGGAGATGGTGCAGTGCCTATCTGAAGAGCTCATGACTGTACGTGCAAAGGTCTTAGACAAGGCAACATTCAGCCTGTTTGCATTTACCTTTTATGTTCCTGATGTCCAGAGTAGAGCCACAATGAGTCATTGGAGTAGAGGAAGGATGAAGTATCTGAGTGAAAGTCACACCACGGCAGTGAAGGGGAAATGAAGCTACTCTGTAAGGAACAGGAAGGTCCTTCAGGCATCTGCTTCAGGTCTACAGGGAGCTGCAGATGTGAAGTCAGCATTCACAAGCCTTTTACACATAGCCTATTTCTTAGTGTGTTCATTCAGGAAAGTAGAAGACCACGTCCTAAACCTCCATCTCATCCTTGGAGTGGGAGAAAGATGCACAACTCTGCTTGGTGAAACTGGGTTTTGCTGGCAGCTACAGCCTCTGACACACAGTTTGGGTGTTCACCTGCAAAAAAGTACCTCCCACCCATGACTGGTTTACATTAAAGAGTCGTTAGAGCCTGGAGGGAGCCATCTAAGAAAATAACAGGACACCCGGTTTCCTCACAAAGTATTATATGTAGCCCTAGCCAAGGGGTCTTGTGCCCTGTTTTGCACAGTAGCTGTGTTCAGCAGAAGTGGAGCACAACCTCTGCAGCAGATCTGCACTCTCATGTCGAGGGCATTTTCACGGGGACAGCTGC